CGTCTAGACCTTCGACGGTAGTTATCGAATGGATGTATTGCACTCGATGGGAATGTGTTACCAGTGCAATCTTTCCCCATGAGACACTACACTTGTTTCTGAGGTGGGATGACCTCAACACCTAACTCGAAGAAAATCCACTCCTTTGACACTCGACACAGAGAAAAAAGAAAAGTAACACATGGTCCAGACGAGTCCCATCATCCATGTCGGCAGAAGGTTACCTTCGACTTTGACTCCACGTGAAAGCCATTTGCACTCTCCCAGTCGGCACAAACCCGTTAAAGTTATTTTGAGCATGAGTGCAGACAGCAGAGGCCTCCCCCCTATTTATAGGAGGACGGGGTCAATGATTCCAACATGATTCTCTTGACAAAAGCCTGTTAAGGTCCCACCATGAAAAGACAACTAGACATAATGATGGGACGGGTCGACGACTAATCTCGAGTCGCAATCATGGCAACCCTTAATACTGACACATTGGGGATCACAAGATAAGGCGACATGTCGAGCCCATCGTGACATTTGATTGTTCGTTTTTTAATGCCTGAGGAATTTGGTCCAATCGAGGGTGTTGGTGGAATTGGTTGGCAACCGATTTTAAAACTCGACAGACACATGCCCGTTGAATGAAAATACATGAATTGCAAAAAACTTTCGACTGCAATAGGTCGGTTGACTTCTTTTACAACATCATTGCATCACAAACCCAAATTTCTAAGATCGAAAGAGTGAGGTTTTCTGTGATGGTTCTTTGCTCACAAGCGATGAGATATGCTAATGAACATAATGCAAATCATCTTGAAGACAAGCTCCCTGGGGTTACCCTAGCAGGTGATGACAAGATTCATGCATAGTGAAAGGAATAAACCAGATAAAGACAAAGATCCAATCGATCGAATGAGAAATGGCTAAGCAATTGCTTTAGTCCTATGTAAACAAACCAATCGATGAATCTTAGTTAATCAAAAAAGCGTTAAGTTTTTTTACAATTGATATAACTTTTTGGTCGATTTGTTTGACAAATCTTTGAAACTATAATTTGATTATCAAATGAAGATTCAAATTGATCAGATCCTTAAAACTAATGTTTTGTCGGTGTGAAAATACGTATTTAGCCCTAAGGGTCTGCAATATTTCATAGAGATCGCCCTAGATGTAAGTCTCTCTGAAGGTGACAATTCGATCGAATAAGTTGAATTGGAAACTTTTGGCAATTCGATCGAATAAGTTGAATTGGAAACTTTTGGCGACCGAATAAGATGGCTGACTCGCTTGCGATTCTAAACAAATTACAACAAGCAAAAATGATCAAGTTTTTCATATATGAAAAACAGTTAGAAGTATTTTTTTCCTTTTGATTTGGAAATAAAAATTACAAGTATTCCTTGATCCAGGTTATCACAGATCACCTGTCGATCTTCACTACCAGTACCTTTACTCTCTTTGGAGGATCCTTTGGACTTGTTTGGAATCAAAGCAGAAAACTCATCCGGGTCGGAGAATTTGGGGTCAACAAGAGCGCAATGGATGAATCTTTGAATTGTATAGTACATTCACTATCTTCGAAGGTTTCCTGGTGAAGTTTTTTCAACTTTTGCCCCTCAGGGTCATCTGATGAGGTGATTTGATCGTCCAATACAAGTTCGGGTCTCAATCATTTCTCCATTTTAAGACCTTTTTCTTCTTTACGACTGTCACATAGACGGGGACACAAAAGCCTACCGTAGCTATAAGTTGAGCGTCCATATCGTCATGTCTCTTGTCAGCAGCCATGCTCATTGAGCATGAAATCCAAAGGGAAGTGGGTTATTAAATTAATTTTCTCAATTTTGGTGTCACTTATTGTTTAATAATTATCCCATCCTTATCGTAGTCGTCGCTATCGAGGATCAAGAAAACTCGGAGAGCTAATGTGCATGTACCAAAACTGCCAGCATGAATCTCAAAAGGATTGAACAACTGAGAAGGATGGTCAGACAATTGAAATCTCAAACCAAAGGGCATAATTTGAACCAACCCATTTGACGGTCGACAACTCGGTTGAGTCGATTGACATGCGTTATAGGTAGATTCACTCGACAGACCTTGATTACAGTCCTGACGACCTAAGCTTCTCGTATGGTTAGCTGGCCAAACTCAACACGTCTATCTATTGATAATTATTGTGATTCACTCAAATTATAACACAAATATGATATTAACTAGCACATTAATTGCGTTTAGGGCGGTTGTCATAATTGTTCCCCATTTGCATATATGTACAATTAGGCCCTTATAAACAGGAAGTTAAAATATGAATAAAGAACTTCTCTCTTGAACTCTATATTTGATCTATTCTCTATTCTCCTCATTCTCTCAGTTCTAACTCTCAAGACATGTGATGCGTGCTAGAAATTTCGCGACGGTAGAGTAATGAATTATCGTCTTAGTTTTGCACGAGGATTCAACGCACACTCAAATGAAAGAGAAACAACATGTGATGACACTAGAATTTTTTACGTGGAAAACCCGTAAGGAGAAAAAACCACGGGGTCTGGCCTCATTATAAAAATTCACTATAAGTTGATGATTACAGAAGACCCTTGTTCCATAGACGGGAAAGTGTTACTAGATTTTTCAAGTTTCAATGTCGACTGATCGCGTCTGCTCAACAGTGATCGACAGCGGCCGACGGTGGTCAACGGAGGCGGCCGTCGGTGGTCAACGGAGGTTGCCGTTGGTCGCTGACAGTCGGTGATGGTCGACGACGATCGACAATGACAACAATGATGTTGGACTTGAGCTCCTTCTCCTCAAATTCTCTCTCAAGCCTTCTCCTTCATGTGAGGGGTGAGACTCTATATATAGTGTTTTCGGTGCAATTAATGCATGAATATAAACCATTTTGATCAGACGGTCCGGAGAGCTTCTCTCGATCAGATGATGTTTGATGGACATTTGATTGCCTTAACAATGTTGGAATTGAGCAATCTTTGGCTCGTTGGGTTCGTCTTGTCGAGACGCTCGATTTGAACATGAACTCGCTAGATTTGACATCCATTTGACATTTCAAATGCCTCCAGAAATCTTTCAAGAGTGATTTAATGATTTGATTCGGGCTTGATCTGACTAAGATTGACCTAGTTTTAATATTATTGGGTCATTCTCATCAAGCCGGCCAATTTGAGTATAAATTTACTGAAATCGGAGCTTTGCATTACTTTTTATCAAGATTTGAATATTTCTTGCTCAAAATATTGCCTTGAGATCGTGTCGAATGATGAAAATTTGTTGGTGGCGTATCAACATGTACTTTTGAAAGACAAATTGGGACTCAACAAGTTTAAGAAGTCCTGCATACCTTTTTAGGGAGACATTGGTTAGTCATCAACTTTTATTGGTTCGTGTTGATGTGACATTTGACTTATTGTGAGTTATCTTTGACCATGTTTATCTTTTAGGCTATAAAGTTTCTCATAGATTTTCACTGACGCATTGGGTGTACATAATTATAAAATATATATAAATAATGATTACAGCAATAGGAAAATATGTCATGGATAACATGTTTCATATCCATCATTTGTGCATTTCGCTGGTTACATTTCTTTTATATTGATTTAGAGGGTTTATTAATGATGACCGAGTGGAGATGGTCCACTAAAGATGAGGGCCAACTAATTAGGCCCAATTGGAGATGGTCGACTAGCAAGATTCTAGTGACAAATGACTGGATTTAGCTTGTTCTCTTAAGAATATCAGCACCTTCAAAGTTTTAAACTACGAAAGATAATTTTTGTCACGTAATCATGATTCAAACCTTGTCTTGATGAGAAAAGTAAAGTGCAGGAGCTCTTTGTTTCAAACTTTATATGGTTATTCAACTAGTGTTCTAACTATGTATTAGATAGCAATGTATTAAAAAATAAAATGCATGTCGATTTAAAATTAATTTTCAAGCACATTTCCTTAAGAAAAAAAATTGATATTTGTCTAATTTTTTATATTTTTAGTGTTTGCCATTATTTATTGCATAAATTTCTCTCGCCGACGTTCTTACATCGGACGGGAGCTCTACCCGCGTGCAACCTTCTCCGAGAACGCGCCTGTTT